GGAGCACCCATGGGGAAAAACTGCACCCACCGGCAGCTCCCCGCCCCAGCTCACCTCCGCCTCCCACTCCTCCCCTGAGCCTGCTGCCGCTGCTCCGCTTCTCCCCCCTCCCACTCTTGCCGCGAAACAGGTGTTTTGTGCGGCAAGCCTGGGAGGGAGGGGGGAGGAAGGGAAATGCGGTGCGCCCAGGGGAGGAGGCAGGGATGGGGATTTGGGGAAGGGGTTGGAATGGGGGCAGGGTAGGGGTGGAGTTGGAGCGGGGCCAGGGCCGGAGGGGCGCAAGTACCCGCCGGCGCCAGGTAAAGTCGGCTCCTATGACTGGGCCCATGTTGCATCAGCTCCCCTCCCCTGCAGCCTGGTCCCCATGTGTATGATGCTCCCTGCAGAGCTCGTCACACTGGCTCTCTGGGGCCAGGAGAGGGACCGAGTCCCACAGGCAGGACCCTCTACTGAGAACCCCCAGCCCTTCTCCTCAAGGGCACGTATGTGCCATGGTTGGGGGAGCTTGGGGCTGAGAGAGGGGCTGTGACTGGGCGAGAGCCCCAGACGGTGAGGAATGGAGGTATCTGATTGGCTGGAGACGGGCAGGTTCCCAACAGGCCTTTAACGGTGTGTCTTTGCCTTTGTGTTATGCAGACTCTGAAGAAATCTCCTTGCAGCTGCCAGCGAATGTCCTGGCGGGGTCCGAGCAGGCCCACGTGACTGTCCACGGTAAGGAATTCCCCTGCCCCATCCCTGCCAGGGCGCGGTGCCCTTCGCCATTCAGCCCATCTGTGGCCCAGCGCTCTGATCAGAGAGGCCGGGGCATCCTGGATGGAAAAGACCAATGAGGTCTAGTGGGTGTCTCGGGCCAGGGCAGGACTGGTCCCTGCAGTCTGTGCTCCAGGGCCTCGTCCCCAGCGAGAGGCAATAGACTCACGCGGTGATGCCATGAAGCTGTGTCAGGGCATTGGCGTCTTGGCCATTCATCACCACGTATCCACGTAACCACACCAGGCCTGAATTGAACTGGGGGCTCTGGCCCCCGCGTGCCAGGGCTCCACTGACGTGGTGTTAGGGACGGGGCAGCTGTTGTGCAGCCTGGTAATTCTCTGCTCCCCCGACTCCCTTGGTGCCAGGAGACATAATGGGCACAGCTCTGCAGAACATAGACCACCTGCTGGCCAGGCCCTACGGATCCGGAGAGGAGAACATGGTCCGGTTCGCTCCCAACATCTACATCCAGCAGTACCTGGAGAAGAGCGGGCAGCTGAGCCCAGAGATCAAAGACAAGGCCCAGGGATTCCTCCGGAGAGGTGAGTGTCCTCCCGCCCCTGTGCCCTCAGGGCATGGCGGGGCCATGCGAGGGCCCTGTCCAAGCCATCTTTGGGGCCCAGGTTCCAATCCAGCTCCAGATCAGGGCCCTGGCTGGCTCTGGGGGTCAGGGAATTAGATCCTTGACCTTTCCTTTCTGGGGCACCAGTCCTGAGGCACAGGACATAAGGACTGTTTGACTCAGGGTTCAGGGAATGGGAGAGGAGCCCTTTCCCCTCTAGGGGGCGCTGGTTGGGATCCAGCCCCAGGTTCGGGCACTGGAGTTTTGGGGGATCAGGGCCCTATTCAGCCTTAACTCCATCCCCCAATTCTAACCGACCCCTGGAATCTCTGAGTCTCAGCGTTGTGGAGGAGGGGAGGGCTAGTGGGCCCCACGGGGCGCAGGCTGGGGGTGGATTCTAGCCCCTGGGGGTGAGCGGATCCAGGACTCGCTGTCTCTCTCCCATCCCTGCAGGCTATCAGCGCGAGCTGCTCTATAAGCACAATGACGGCTCTTACAGCGCCTCTAGGAAGAGAGACGCCAGGGGCAACACCTGGTGAGGGGCCGCATGGCACGGGCAAGTCAGGGCTCTGGGTGGGCAGGGCCTACCAGGCTGCAGCCTGACCCCCAGCCTCACTGCTATTCCAGTCCTGCTCCCCACGCAGCTCTGCCCCACATACACACTTGAAATCCCCCCGTTCCCATCCTGGACGCCCCTCACAGCTCTGCTCACCCCCCACAATGCTGACCCCCAGCTCCGTCCCCGACGCACCTCCCTCCTGGCCCGCAGCATCTCCTGCAGAGTGTCCCTTTCACGGGATCTCTCCCCACCCAGGCTGACGGCCTTCGTTCTCAAGTCCTTTGGCCAGGCCAGGGCCTACATCTCCATCGACGAGAAGCACCTAGAGGACGCCCTAAGGTGGCTGCAGCGTCACCAGCTGGGGACTGGCTGCTTCCGCAGTGTGGGGAAGCTGTTGAACAATGCCCTGCAGGTGGGAGGCTGGGGGGATGGGGGAGGAGGGGACAAGCTGGGGAAGGGGGTGGGGGCCCCTCATGGCAGCTGGTTGTTGTCACTCATGTCGGTTTTGGGGATTTCCCTGGGTTTTTAGCAATGGCTGGATGGCTGGAACGACCGGGGCAGCGGGTTATTGCACCGAACGAGGGAGCAGCCCTGGCCCAGCCCCCCTGGCTCCTGCACAGCCCGGTCTCCCCGCGGGCACTGAGCAGACCCCGCACCCATTGCCTGGCACGGAGAGCCTGAGGGGCAGGGCCCAGCCCAGCCCTGAAGTCATGTGACTCCCACAACTCCCCATGCGGCTCAGTCAGAAGGGTGGTCGCGGTGCATCATGGGAGATGTAGTCCGATGGAGCCGAGTCCATGGGGGAATGGGGGCACGAGGCCGGTGCAGCTGAATGTTGAACCGGTTTGCAGTGGAAGGTTTAGATTCAGGTCGCCAACCCACGAGGCTGCGATTTGGTCCCCGCCAACCCACAGTAGAATGTTGCGTTTCCATTTTCCCAACAGAAATCGAAACGTTTCAGCATTAGTAATGTTTTCCTGCAAAGTTTTGGTTTTGTGGAAACTGCATCGTCTGTCGAGAAATCATTTCAGGAGGAAATTCCCACCCAGCGCAAGTCACAGCCCAATTCTTGCCACTGCCCTGGAGTTTGCAGAGAGCCGGGACACTACGGGAGGGGCCGGGGCTGTACCCGGCTGTTTGGGAGCTAGAAGGAGACAAATCTTAGGCAAAGCCAGATTTCTGCACGGGGGGACAATTTAATGAGCAGGAACTCACCCAGTGAGGGGCAATTCCCTCAGCCTCTGCAGAAACGGCCCCTGGTCTTCACAGGAAATCTGGCAAATGTCAGTTCAAACCAACTTCCCAGCCTCTGGTTCCAGGGGGGCTCAGAAAGGATTTTATATTGAAATTTTATACAGCCTTGACAATGGAGCAGCTACAGCCTCTCCCTATAACAAAGCTGTGGAACTCACTGCCACCCTGTGGCCTCCCTGGCTGCCATGACTTGGGCCAGCTGCTTGGGACCCAGATGGGCCTGACAGGACCCAGCAGGAGGCAGGACACAAACGCAGCCACTCGGAGCTCTGGAGCCGGGTCTTCTCTGTCCCAATGGGCCTGTCCTGGGCAGCGGCTCACCTGCTCCGGGCAACGAGCCCTGCAGTTCGGTCTGAGCCAGCTCCCGGTGTCTCCATCCCCCTCAGGGCGGCGTGGTGGACGAGCTCTCTCTCTCGGCTTACATCACG